GGGGGGGGGGGGGGGGGGGGGGGACGGCAAGACTCTGGCACCCAGCACTCGGTGATGCCGCCTTGGCCAGCTACAACTGCGCAGTGTCTGGCAGGACCAAAGCAGGTGGGTACAAGTCCATCCAATCTCCACCTTCATGGGGAGCCCGAACTTCTAAATACTCCTAGTGCGTCGCATAGCACAACAATCAGCCCTTGAAAACTAATTCTTGTTAGAATTACTGTCAGTTAACACCATGCCAGGAATAGAAAGGGATAGCTACCATCCATGGTAATTCACCTCACTCCTTTTATGATATGGTAGAGCCTGTCTGCAGCACAGTGAGACATCCAGGCCAAGGACATTAGTTTTATGGCAGCCTCTTCTGTGGTTAAAAAACAATTACGGGCATTTTCCGCTATTGCTTTTCTATTACCTTTTTTTTCTTTCTTTCTTTCTTTTGCAGGGACTGAAGAGGAAGATGAAGGCGATGACCTGCTGTTGAGATCTGTGGATGAGTTTTGGTGGTTTCCCCATATGTGGAGTCACATGCAGCCTCACCTCTTCCACAATGAGTCGTCACTGGTGGAGCAGATGATCCTCAACAAAGAATTCGCAATAGTGAGTAGAAGTTACCAAAAGGTTCGCTAGGATACCTTTGCATATTATAGCTATGCTTTCCAAGCTGTTTTTATGTTTATCTATATTATACATATATATATTTACATAGATATGCAAATAAGGCAGCAAGATTGGAAACTCAGCCCAAAAAAAGCCTTTCTGTGACTCAAACTTGGGCTGAATTTTGTCTTAGCCTTTTTCACTTACACGGGCTTTCTGGAAAGGTAGCAGCCCTTCACCCAAGCAGCCTTGCGAGACCACAGGGATCAGAAGCAGTGAAATCTCAGCAGATATCAGCTGGCCTTTTAAGCTCTAGGAAGGGATTTATACATGGGTTTTCAGCTTCCTGAAGTCTGGTGCAAACATCCTCAATAGGGGAGGGAGAAAGTTGCAGCGAACCCTAAATGTTGTGTATGGTTTGTGAGAAATCTTGACGCTAATGAAGCAAGTAAGTGAAGCTGCTGGATTTCACTGTGCTTTTTCTAGATTACCTGCTTGAAAATATGCTTTTTACGTAGCTAACTTGTTGCTAATATTTATAGATAATGTTGTTTCATTTTTGCTCATTTGCGTTGTTAACTTACAAGAGCTATCCTCCTAGCATTGCCCAGAGCTCAGAGTACTTGCACTCCAAGGTCAGGTGGAAACCATTTAGAGTCCTTTCAGGGTAATTCTACTTGCTTATCGAGCATGACAAAGAAAACCTGAAGTCTATAAATGCTCACTTTGGAAAAGACTCTGTGTGGTCTTTGACAAGGCGTAGAAATGCCAAGCAACCAGAGCCACTCAAAAGAGCAGAGTGACACAGTGAGGCTTCCTCTGCTGCTCAGGGAACACAAGCCTCAGCCCTTTGCAGCTCGGAAAGGCCAGCCAGCAGCTGCCCCTTCCTCCCATCCCTCACATGAGCCAAGGCGCATCAGGAAACCGGCAGAGGCAGATGCCTGAACGAGCAGTTGGAAGCAAATTATTCCCTTGTTTATGAGAATATTTTCCTAGCAACCTTTAAAGAAAATTCATTAAAAATGGCTTAACTGTTTACTCTTCTTGCCAGACTTGCCCCCTCTTCCCATCTCCTGCTTGGCAGGGTGTTAGTACAGAGGCATTTTGGATTACTTCTTTTCCTTTCTACCGTTCTGCTTTACTGTCAGCCTTCATTCCTGGCATGGCCTGTTCTTGCCTTTTGTGTAGCCTGGCCCAGAGACCAAATATAGTTGAGATTTCAAACACAAGAGTAATTTTTTAAATAATCTGTATCTCAAAAATACATGGTCCGTTCACCTTTACACCTATGGGGAAAGTCTCCTAGTATTTTCAGGAAACATGAAGTCTTCTAGGTCAAACCACCTTTAGGAGTAAAATCTGTAGCATAGCCTGAAAACAGGGCTTGCAAACAGGTTCTATTACAACTTCAACTACAGAAAGATAAAGCCCATGTCCCTGTCATCACTGAAGGGTAGAGACTCCTTAGGGTGCCTATAAATAAGGAGCTGATGTCAGTGAAAGGCTGCTGTTATTACAGTTTTATTTCCTTCTAACATTTGGACAGGGGTTATACCAACCTCTTAACCTTGAATCTATATGAGCTGTACAATTTACTTATGAGAACATTTCTTTTCAAAAGGCTTCCTGTGAAATCCTCTCTGTGGGAGAAATTTATCTTCCTGATATGACAACCTTCCTGATAGCTATCAGAGAGGTCCCAGCCATGACTTCAGGGTAGTTCTGTATCCTCCCCTGCTTTCTCACCCTCAGCATCATATCTTACTTGGGAAAGGAACTCCCTGTTCTGCAGCTGCACTTCTGTAAGTCCTCCGAAGTTAAAGCAAACCCCTTTTCGTTATTCTTTGACTTCACAGCGTGGATCCAAATTTAAATTAGAGATCTAGAACAATACATAGAAAATCTACTTGATGTTATACGTGTTTTATTTGCGCTCTAATATCTTTATTTAGTGTTATACTCAAGGGAACACAACTTGATGCTGACGCCATTTTCCCTTGCATTTCCCATTTATTGACCGTATCTCCCCACCTCCTGTTTTAGCCGCAGGTAGAGACAATACTTTGTGTCAGTTTCTGCAAGGAAAGATGCAATAATTATTTGGAAGTATGATCACATTCATTCGTCACCTCCTGTGGTATTTCTTCATTCATTTTTTTAAACATGGGTAAGAAGGTAACAGGGTCTTCAGGATGGGAGAGCACATCATTATACCCGAGAAGAACAGTCAAGGTTGCTTTAAGATCCCAAATACCACAACAAAAATTCTGTTCATTAAGACCTGTTGGCTCCTCCTGGCTTTATCATTGTAGAAGAAAGCTAAAACAGATCACACTGTCCAGAAACCTGCACTCAAATCCCATCACAGACAGCAGCTTCTCCATGCAAGACAGTATCAGGCTTGGGATTGACGTTCACCGGGGGAAAAGGTTTCATGAAAGGAATGTCCTTCTCTTGAGTACTGTGGATTAAAGTCAAGCTTAATAAACACAAACCAGTGCACCTGAAACAGTATTTCATGGATATTATCGCATGGAGCTATAAACGTACATAAACACAATTTTTATTGGCTCTTGTATTTACACTGCATGCACAATCTTTGGTTTGCAGAAGCTCAAGTACACATACAGTCAGGCAAGAAATACAGGTGTTACAGCTGGCAACTAGATAAAAGACCTCGTTCTGTTTTACACGGATATATCCATATCTCATAATGATGCTCTATACAATGGGGGCTTACAGTTGCAGCCTGCCTCAAACAGCTGTATCACAAAATACTTGTCGAAATCGGTTATCTAAACAGTTTTGTATACATACAACTAATTGCTACCTAGATACCTAATTAGGTATCTAATTGCCTTGATTTCAGTGCAGATACGTATACCTCTCTGTATCTGGGGCTTAGTAAAATCAACAGTCTTTAAAGGATTCCCTTACATGCGAATTGCTTGTGAACCAGGAGACTGCCTTTAACAAGAGCCCTCCAAATTATTATATTTTATGTGTCACTGAGATATTTATCTTTTCTACTGTTTCATGCCTAGTTGGTGAGAGGAAGAGACTTTCTCACATCTTTCATAAATGTTATTGCCCCGCTGCTCTGGATCTGGCAGGCAGTGTGGGAAGTTTTGCCTGGCAAAATCCTTGTCCCCGCGTGCCTGAGCGATGGGCCCCACAGCTGCCCCCATCCATAGCTCCATTCCCACAGCCCTCGCTGCCAAATCTCTTCTCAAGCGCTCACGATATCCTCAGCTTCAGAGGAACAAGAGCCAGAGATTTTAACTGCAGTGAAGTAAGTTGCAGACTACCCAGAACTTTGCTGTCCCAGTGTCATCTTATTTACGTAAATATGGATGGTATGCTTCAGAGCCTGGCTAAGGAAATGGCAAATGACATTTTTTTGATTATCAGTTGGGTTTGACTTGATCATGTTTTGTGGGTTTTTTTTTTCTATCAGAGGATCCTAAAATCCTTTAAAGACACTAATGGATTAAACCTTGGATTAGATTTTGCAAACTGATAATATCTCAAGTATTATTCTCCTTGTTTATAAGCAATGCAACTGATACACAAAGAGGTAAACAAATTGCGCAGACAGAAGTCTCTGATAGTACATTTTCCAAAAATAAAATGAACCAGGTTTTCACTGCCATCCTTTAATCACAAGATATCCTTTCTCCCCTCTTTTGTACATCCTTATCTGACAAAAACAAGTAGAATGTATTTAATCCAAAGCCTGTAGCTCTTTATTTTGTCCCTCGATTTGTTTGCTCAGTAATTATCTTCTGCGCTCATTTGTGAGCACATGTGCCCAAAGCACAGTAGAGATAGGGCAAAAACTATCATCGACTGTAAAAAAGTAGCTGTGATCTGATATGAAGAAGTTTGAGAGAGACGTATACAAAACAAATCTATTCAGAGGTGCACATATACAAAACAAATCAATTCAGAGCCTGTCTAGTAACACTCCTTGGCTTCAATCTCCGGTTTATAAACCAACTACAGATGCACATTAGCACTTCCCCTGCCTAAAACTTTTGAGCTGCCCAAACCACAGAGAAACCATGAGCTTTTAATATACCAATTAAATACCAAGAATATGAAGACCAGTGACCACATATCAAAGGCAAAGTATCGACATGTGATGAAAAGAGAGTCTAATTTGTCCTATTATTATTATCTGTAGTTAATGTTGGGAAGGAGAGATGCCCACTAGAGATTGCCTCTAAAAATGTTCTGTAAGTGGTCTTCATATATAGGATAACATTGTCCTGTGCAGACAGGATGAGATTTATTCTGCCTACCCTTAAGGTCCTTCTGAAATAGTCCATCTTCATTAGTGCTTTCATCCGTATCAGGAGTGTGCTTTAACAGCACATCTCTAAGACCACCTCTATTTTCTCAGCTTTACTTGGTACCACACGCATGCAGAGTCTACGTGTTTCCTAGTCGTATAGCTTCCTCAGTGCTGGACTGCCTTTCTTCATTTCACATCCTCAGAAAGCTAAGATCTTCAATCCCAGCATCTTCTCTGCCTCTTGGTAGTCTGCTACGGTGTGAAGCATTCCTAGAACAGGAGTCGTGGTGATATCTGGGAGACTCCTATGTAAGACTGATGAAAAGCTGGCTTTTCCCGTGTCCCTGTCAATCCTGGCTCTGACACCGACACCGGAAAACCCGCTTTGTTAAGACCCCTTGTACTTTCTGCTTGGTGCATTGTACGGCCACGTGGCAAGGAAGCACACCACGGAGATGAAAGAACAACAGTGAAAGCAAATACCAACACACAGAACCTCTATATCTCAATAACGATCACCTCTCGTTTGCTGAACCATCTTCTCTAGCTAGAGAGCTTTTAAGCAGATTTTTCAAGTTAGAATTGAACTAGAAGTAATTGAAAGCTGAAATATTTATTCAATAAAAATTATCCAGAAACGTAAACCTTGAGGACAAAAATCATGTGTCCATAAAGGATAAAACACAACACAACATTTTTGTGAGTGCTGACAAGCAAGAAAGTAGCAAATTCATTTACCAAATGAGAGAAACTTTGCTAAGTGTTTTAAACAGACATAGTAACATATAATCTCTTATAGGAAATCTCACCCCTGTGCAGCAATATTTGAAATATATCTCAGTACTAAAAATATGGAAATACTTTGTAAATCTTTTAACTTTGGAAGGTAACATCTTAAAAAGTACTAAATTTACTCTAACACCAACTGTTGGACAAAGTCAAAAAGTTTAGCAAACTTATCTGGGGCTGTATTGTTAACTTTTTCATCTAATAAAAGTCTTCACACCAAAGGGAATGCTGCAGTTCAACTGACTCTGTGAAAAGATCTACAGTAGGCATAAGATTTAATAAATTAAAAGGTTGCTTTTTTATTATTTCTCTGACAACGGCCAATACTAGATGTTTCTGTAAAACAAATCACCAGTGATCTTTAAGAACCAGAATGCCAGTTGTGTTATAACAGTTTTAGGTTTTGTTTCATTTTATTTCTAAGTGCATTTTAACAAGGACATGTAATATTTGGTGCAGTCAAATACTGGGTTTTCTGTCGGACAAGATACTGCTAATATAAATAGTCAATCTTCCAGATGCTGGTTTTTATTCAAATTTCCAACATCTGCTCACAGAAAATCTGCTATAGGAATGCAAACTTACTTGTTGAGAATATACCTCCTTCTGGAGAGCAGTGCTCATTCTGCATTACCTGCCCTTTCTTTAGCAGAGGGGTTTTTTTGCAAATGCAGAATAAGTACACGCAGCACATGCTGACTCATGGCGCACACTGCTCGTTTCTGTACAAATAGGAAGGTCAAAAGAGGTTAGGAGTTTCAAGCAAATCTTCACTTGCTTGAATGAAGCTGATAATTGAGAGAGATAAGCAGCCTTGGCAGATTGCTTCAGCCTTTCGGATCACCCGTAAAAGCACCTGTCCTATGCACAGGCTCTTGGCAAGGTAGCTTTGGCGGGTGCGCAGACGAGCCAGGCTGCATTGGCAGGACTATGAGTTTCCAATTCCCATTGCTCTGGCTTGGGTGCGTCAGCACGAGCGTGAGACAGCGACTCCCTGGGCTCCGCCACGTGAAGAGGTTGCCGCTGGCCAGTTGTGCTGGCCACACGCAGGCGTCAGAGGGAGGGTTATTTTGAGCTGGTAGTAGTCTGATCCGCGTACCACGTGCTCACTGGTGCCTGGAGGACATGAGGTGTGCTCCTGGAGAGCATCCTCTAGTCTGGTCTAGCCCTTTCAACAAGGCAGGTCGCGTGCTTCCAGACTGCTCCATGACGCAAACCAGTGCATGGGAAGTAGCGACAACTCGGGGAATTTTCTGCCAAAAATGCAACAACTATTTTAATAGTCTTCCCCCTATCTCACAGGTTGTAACAGTGATACTCCTTTAATATTGAACTCATCCACTGCTGCAGCTTCAGCTTACACTGTCATTTAAATTAGAATTGAAAGTCTCTTAACACACAAGTAAAAGAGGAATACAAATTCAACCTGTCCAAAATTAATGGCTCTGGGGTCCCAGCTTAAGCGTGCAAAGGAACATAACGCTGCTGTCCTCAGTGCCAAAAAAGGCCAGAAGTTTTCTAAACTAGGCAAACACACGCATACAATTTTTGAACAAATTTTGAAATGAAAAAAATCAATGGAAGTCTTGAATGTAAAAATAACCCAATAAAATCTTGTAGGAAATTGCTCCTTGGAATATATAAGAAAATATACTCGCTACAGGCATCTCCCATTTTGCCCAACAGCTTAGATTCAAATGTATACTCCTCCTTTAACACATTAGGTCCCAATCCCAAACTAAATTTAATAACACAATGAGAGGAAAAAAGGAAACAGAGCAACAGAAATCACTAAAAGAGGACATACAATATGTAATTTACCCAAGTAAACTGAACGTGGAACTGACCAAAGAAAATCTGGTTATTTGTTAGTTGTTTCTTCTTAAAGTCATATTGGGTATCTGGGTGACTGACATGTATTTGTGTGATGAACTATGTAGTGTGCAGGTTTTATTCCGAGGCTAATTAGCTTTTTATACGGAGAACTTATGAAAGGCTGCCTTATTTTATTTGTGAGTGACAGATTACCATTTCACCATTCTGTTGCTATGGCAATACCAGCAGCAAATAGTAAGTAGATAAACAGGATTTTGCATGTATTCATCCAGATATCTACTTTGGGACATATCATTCAGAGCAGTGTTCATTATCTAGCTCAGGACACACATGCCTTACATTTATGTGCCTGTATACTCCCTAACACAGGCTTGGTGAGGGTTTGTCGATTCAAGTTAATACAGTATATTTAAGTTAACACAGTATATTTGACAGTGTGAGCATGATAGGCTACTCAGGCAGAGTAATAAAGGGCCAGATTTTTCAGAAACATTCAGATATAGCTTTTTCCTTTATACATGTTCATGGCAAAAAAACAGAGAAAAGAGTGATTTAACACTTCTCATTATAGAGCTGTTCCTCATTTCACCCTTAAAAATGACTTATGCCTTTCAGGTGGGTAACAACATTAATAAGCAGAAATTACATTTTGCTCTCAGTAAATTACAAAACAGTGAGTTTGGGTTTCTTTTTTTTCTCCAAGATCAGTCAGCAACCTAAGATCTTTACTAATAAGGAATGGATAATTTTAACTGGTTGCATTATGTGATGTATGAACAAGCATTCCCCACAGATTTAACTTAATTTTTGTCAATGAACCAAAAGCCTTTCTTTGCAAAGTATTTGAAGATGCTGTTCCTGGAATTAAAGTAATCAACAGTTCTTGGATAATGTGGGCAAGAGGAAGGACAAAAAAAAATCATCGTCTCACATTTTAGCCATTTCCTTCTGAACATCAATTTTATATGAACAGAAAACAGCTGATGTATCCTGTAGTACCGGGAGTAAAATGAATTCAGTAAACACCCGGAGCGCGGGAAGGGATCCAGCGAGAGCCACAGAGAGCCTGGAGATGCCATGGGAGAGCTGAAAAGGGTTTTTACTGGACCTGCTGGAAATGAGCCTCAGCAGGAGAAGAGGCAGAGCGCAGCCTTTCTTTCTGCCAGTAGCTTATGATAAACGCTGGATGCGTTTCTGAATAGTCACTCAGACCAATAAAACTGATTACCTCATTTTCACACATATAGCTTACACTTCCAATAATTTGCTCTCTTTTAAATATACCCCGGTCTATAGATGCGGTTATCAGACCTCATCATCAGATGGGGTTTTCAGACAGCCCATGCTAAGTCGGGAGCGGGAGGGATGAGGAGCAGAACAAAGGCAGGAGAGCGTCAGGAGTGAAGGGAACGTGCCCAGTTAAGCTTCTTCCTTAATTCCTTCTGCCTGCACATTAACTACCTCATTGTGCCGCCGGAAGATATTTTCAAGATAACCTGTAGATTATACTCATGAAAATGCACGTATTTCCTCATAGAAATGGAGCTAAATGTTTATGAAATGAAAAAGATGCCTGTCAAAGTCCAGCTTTTTTTGCTACTATCTTAATACCGTGGAAAACACATAAGCAGATTCAGAAGCTATGGGGGATATTTATTTATTTATTTTTTAAACCAGGAAGGAATCTTGCTCTTAATTCTAGAAATAGGAAACAAAAAATCCCACATATGTCACTGCAACATTTTTTTCCATCTGTTTACTGCTCTAATGCTGTTTGATAGCTTAAGTAAATAAGCAGCATCAGCTTACCGGATTACCTTCACAAAGAACCAAACAGGTAGGACGCATATTAAAATACACACAATATGTAATGAACAGGCAGGCAAATCTATTCCGTATAACAGTAACGCAATGTAATCCAAGAGGATTATTTATCACTCTGCAGTTATCAAACTGTAATTCCAGTTCCCCTCATCTCCCCCCCATTTTTAGCTTGTGCTACATACAAATAGATACAAGTCTGTCCAAGGACAACAGCTTCTCTGATGGCGCTGTCTGCAGTAAAAAATAAGCTTTGAATAATTACATGTTCTTTTTCTGTTCCTAAACGTATTCCTCCCTCTGCTGTGTTGCAGGAGCACAGCATACCGACTGGCATGGGGTACGCAGTAGCTCCGCACCACTCCGGGGTCTACCCGGTTCACATCCAGCTGTACGAGGCCTGGAAGAAGGTCTGGCACATCCGAGTGACCAGCACAGAAGAATACCCACACCTGAAGCCTGCACGGTACAGACGGGGCTTCATCCACAATGGCATCATGGTACACTGCATTTCCATGCTTCATAGCAATAGTACTTTAAGTGACTCAAAAGTATGCTATTTTTACCAAACGTTTCAAGTTTTACAGCAATCATTAAAATTCTCTGTGATCGAGGATTTGTAAGGATGTCAAAATAGTGCATTTGTTATGCAGCCAGTTTTAAAAAAAAAAAAGAAAAATCACACAAACTCAGGCAACTGCAGATGTAATCCTCAGAAACTAAACGTGCTTGTAGTCCCATCAACTATCAACTGAGTTATAAATGCATAATTTGCAATTCATTAAACTGCCTAAGACCTATGTTTCAAGCTCTGGTTCATCTTTATGCATGAAAGGATTTAGAAATCCACCACCTGGGAAGGTGAGCAGGTGTAAGTAATCTCCTCCAGCAAGTATGACACTTCTCTGAGGCTGAGGTTTCATTCTGAGCTTTGCTCCTGAAACTCCCAGAGCCAGGGACTGGACACATGCCCGACTCTTCCAGACCATGCGTTGGTGCGAGGAGAGAGAAGGTTCCTCACATACACACTTCAACTGCATGAAGGGCAGGAAAATGTATAAAATTATTTGGCCTGTCTTACCAGCCAGCTGCAAGCCGGTAAAACATAAAAATTGAATATGCATAGGTGAAGTTAGAAATATTTCAAGGGCAGGTCCCAGGAGGCTTTAAAACCCCAGCTGACTTGAATATTGCATTTGTCTTCTATGCATAGAAAGACAAAATTGTGATCCCCTAAACAAGACCAAAGGAATGTCTTAATCGAAACCAAGAAGTTACTGCACAGGGTCCGATTACTATTGGAACAGACTCAAATTCAGCAGTGCATTTACACATGTATTAAAATGCTTTGCTGAATGTAGGTTTCATTTGTTGTTTTAACTGAGTAGAAGAGCAAAAACACTGACTGGAGGGAAATAAAAGGCCTTCCCCAGGTGAACGATGTCTCTGCATGGATTAGGCAATACCCATAAGCCCTGACAGTTGTTGTCTTTTCTTTACCAGAGCCCTTTGATAGTACCTAGCTAATAAAGTAACTAAACCACCTTGTTCTCCAAGATGAGTTTGTTTTCCCACACCTGCTGGCTTGCTTCTGACATGCAGCCTCTTGATTTATGACAGGACGGGGAGCTGACCTCGGGCAGGTCTCACGCGAGCGTCCCACCAGTCCTGTACGCATTTCAAACAGGAGTGAGGGGCTCAGTACGGTTTGCAGGACTGAGAAAAGTATGAAGCAACAGGTCTTTTACGGTCCACAGCCTTGAATACAAATTCAGTTCAATGTCTCAAGAACAGTGAGATTAATTGCCTGAGATAGCAAAGACAGCCAGGAAGCACTATTTATCTGCTAATAAACTAACCTTGCTAAGGGAAGAGAGGTTTGGCATTTTGTTTTCTTTCTCTTCCAAATGCCAGGAAACAAACACTTATTATGCGTGTATGAGCTGAATAAAATGGTCTGCATGAAAGCTCAGCGCATGTGTGTCACAGCTTTTCAGAGCTGGCATCTGGAAATCTCCACATCTGCAGGACCGCTCTTGCTTACCACGGGAGTACAGAAGGCACAAAGGAGCCCATAAACAAACACGCCAGAGCACAGGGGCAGAAAGGGTTGCAGTTTTGTTTCTTTGAGTTGCTGGAGGGATTTGGGTGGCTGCGCCAGGGTGAGTTCGCAGAAACGAGTTAATGTCACAACGGCACTGTTATTTTGTTCTCAGGTGCTCCCTCGACAGACCTGTGGCCTTTTCACTCATACTATTTTTTACAAGGAATATCCTGGGGGTCCTCATGAGCTGGACAAAAGTATCCGAGGAGGTGAACTCTTCCTCACCATTCTCCTGAATCCCGTAGGTACCTTCTTTTGCTATTTTTTGGACATGATGCCTAACGGGGAGGAGGGAGGGAGGAAGGGAAGGGGATCAGTTTCCTTTGATCTTGTTTGGAAAATAAAAAAATCAAGTCCACTTGTTGCTCAGAGGTAACAAGCAGTTTAAGAGGAAAGGAGCAAAATGTCTTCTGCTAATTTCTAACTACAACTGTATGCAACAAGTTACTGGAAAGTGCATTAATTTCAGCTCCATACCGTTTCCCTGAACCTGGGTCCCCGTGAGAGAAGAGTGTGCTGACCTTGTCTGACTGAGGCTGAAAGAAACCAGTGAGGGTAGAGAAAACTGTGTGATCTTATTCCACTTTTCCTTTTTTCCATAACCTTGGCTCTTCAGGCACTCCTGGTACAGCTCGATAGAAACCCCAGGGCTCAGGCCTGATATCATTCCCCCACCACTGGCTCTTAAAAATACTAAAAAATGCAGCTAAAAAAAGTGCAGCTAAAAAATACTTCAAGCAGTACATAGCCTTCTAATGAGCATTTTTGCTTTGCGCAGTGCTGCATTTCTTTTTCTCTGTCAACATTACATGAACAATAAACGATATAGATGTACGCATGTGTGCACATATAAGCAACCTACATATGTATAAACACACACATATATATGGTTTAATCAAAAGTGCCACAGACTTTAAGGCTGATTTGCAGAGCTATCACGCAATTTTGTCTCTCAACTAATAAAGCGGTCTGAACCGCGCTGTGCTAATATACACATGCACACACACATATGACAACACGATATAGGTGGATGCATAAGTGTGATTGGGCTTACCAAGGATCGGGGAGGAAAGCTACCTGACTGCAAATGCTATATTTTGAAGTCACAGTTCTCTTGCCTGTGAACAACAGTCAGGTGCCATTTAAGACAGCAGCCTAGAGGTGGAAGGAGGAAGGACAAGAACAAAAAAAAAAATCATATATCAATTTTTTTTTTGCCATTGTCCTCCCTTCTTCCTGTTCCACCCAAACAAGCTATACTACTCACAAGATAAATGCCTTGTGTCTTGCCAGGTGGCCTAATTTTCAGCAGTTTTAAATTGCAGTACTCATTGACTTCTCTGCAGAGTTACAGAAACTTTAGGTGGAGCTAACTCTCAAATCCAGGTCACTTTTATTTAGAGACCTATAGATAGATTTTGGTATTATATAATTAGGCGAAAATTTTGGCTGGGGAGCTAAGTTGGCATCTGAGTCAAAGATTCAGCAGGCTTAAAGAAATGGGACATTTCTATTAGGAATTTTTCTGTACTATGCATGTGACACCTAATTTGAGAATAAAAAATATCATAGAATAGTTTGGGTTGGAAGGGACCTTTAAAGGTCTAGTCCAACCCCCCTGCAACGAGCAGGGGCATCTTCTACTAGATCAGGTTGCTCAGAGCCCCGTCCAGCCTGACCTTGAATGTTTCCAGGGATGGGGCACCCACCATCTCTCTGGGCAGTCTGTGCCAGTGCTTCATCACCCTCAGCATAAAAAATTTCTTCCTTATATCTAGTCTAAATCTACCCCCCTTTAGTTTAAAGCCATTCCCCCTTG